CTTTCAGTGCACATGATGAGGCCTAGTCGTCCCAGTAGTCCCAAAACCAAACAGGCCCACAAATATAGAGGAAAACAGAACAAAACTAAAGATACAGTTTTTATTTATATTTTTATTAATTTTGTTATAAAGACAATTACAGAAATTCACTAATGAGCAACTTAAAAAAAAACACTAGAAATATATATTTTTAAAAATCTAATCCTGAGCTGAAAGTATATCGTCACACCAGAGGTTTGGTGCCAGATGTTGTTCAGCATCAAATCAGCTGTGTCTCTGTGTCAAAAGTCTATCATTATCTTATTCGCTACACTACAGAAAATTCTTCTCCGCAACATTTTCCACGCAGCAGTGTTCAGGCTGTTCGGGGTTATGTGGGTAGTAGACGTCGGCCTTGTGTTCGTCGTCATGCTCGATGTGTTTCAGGTGGATGACCATGTGCAGGGCGTAGGCCAGGACCAGCAGCAGGATGAGGGAAGTGACGAGGCCCATCAGGATGGCCGGCGTCAGAAACGTGGCGCAGTCGCTCGCAGGAGAAAATTTACCGGAAGTGACGTTGAAGGCCTGAATCTGAGAAAGGGACAGAGACATTTTGAAAATATTAAGTCGGTTAAATTCAATTAAATTATCAGACAGTGAGTCAGTTGGGTCAACCAGACAGGTACCTGGAAGTTGGTGAAGGTCACGGCCCAGAGGCGAGCGTGGTCGGTGCTGGGCAGCAGCAGGGCGCTGTGGCGCTGCAGGCTGCTGACATGGAGGCAATGGTAGGAGGAGGAGGTTGGAGCGTACACTTCACTGACGTTGAACACAGCCTCCTCAGAGGTGTTGTAGAGCAGAGAGACGCTTTCCACCGAGAACCACCACTGACTTGAAGACTCGTAGAAAGTGTTGGACAGCTGCAGTCTGACATCGAAAGGGACGAGAGGAGACAGTCAGTCTAAACTTTACAGTGAACCTGACCCGCATGACTGCAGACCTTTTAGCTTCAAAGGTACTTAGTGCCGTTGCAAGGAGTATTTAACTGGATATACACAGTCTCAGTTTAATACTGATGCCTTTATCAGCAAGAATATTGGCTATTTCTATATAGTTATTTTTAATGACTGAGACTGGGTTGGATTTGGTCGGATTCCCCTTGAAATCAATGAACAAATCGGTGGAAACACTACCACTTTTGTCCACAGGGGTCGCCAATATCAACAAATATAAAGTTCCTTGTTGGGGTTTTAAGGAAAAGTAACAATACCACAGTGTCCGAATACTGTTAACGTGTAAAAGTCCTGCATTCAAAATTCTACGTGAGTAACAGTGTTATTAACAAAATGTTCTTAAACTATCAAATGTAAAATAATCACCAGGTAAAATGGCCCCTTTGTTGTGTGAGTGTTAAATTATGGGGCCTTCAAAGTCCTAAAGGTATATTTATATATTTATTTCATACTTAGATGTTATTGTGTGCAACAAAATTTATTTTCAAGGCTTCAGGGTCTCTCCTGTTAGTTGTGGGTCAATTTACAATTTTATTATTATTATTATTATTATAACATGTCACATAAATAAGACATCATATTTAATATGTTGATGATATGTTTTTTTTTATGTAAAATCAAAGTAACTAGTAACTATAGCAGTTAAATGTACGTAGTTAAATTATAAATAAACTCCACAGATTTATTGTGAACACATTTACAGTTAGATCTGACGTATCAGTGTGGCTGCCCTTTGACTTGATTAAAATCATAAAGTTATATTTTAGTGCATGATCTGCAGACAGGTGGTATGACTAACCTGATGGACAGACCTCTCAAATCCTCCACATCTCCAAACCTCATCACCAGCCTGGTGAAGACAGACAGAGAGTGTCAGACTTATTTGACAAAAGAGGGGTAAAGGTGCACAGACGGGTCATTCAGTCAGACAGACAGGTGTACATACGTGGCCTTATCCTGACGGCAGACAGACTGGCTGGTGTCGACAGGTTTCTGAGGAGAAAAGGTTCTCTCTGTCAGGTCCAGCTGCTTCTGCTTATCATAGCGCAGAGACAGCTTCCTGGCCTGGAACAGGAGGCACGGCTCCCCATTGGACAACACCTGGTGGGCAGACATATTAGTGTTGGGGGCCACAAATATTAGAGATGCTTTCTATGTGTTATGTTTACATATATAATATAATCATATTGGGACATGTTTACCTAGCTTAACACAAAGACTGGAGCAGCGGGCTCCTGCTAACATAGCTACTTATAATAACTGCCAATATCAAACTAAGGTTATCAGTCGTGAAATAGGCAACTATTAATCTTGTTTTGACAATAAAAATGAATAATAGGCAGGTGTAGATAATGGATGTGTGGATGTTGGAAATGCATACATTCGAAAACTTTACTTAAATTAGGACCAAACACCAGCAGCTCAATATATACAGTTTGAAACGTGTGTCCTGAAAGTGCTTTTTATTTTCTGAGCTGTTTTCTCGTTACAGCAGTGGGTTAATCAACGCCACCTTGAGGGGAGGAAAGGGAAGTGCAGTTCCCGGCATCTGAAGTAGTTTCCTCCGTGATACATCTGGAGACTGGAGAAAAAGATAATTCAGTGTGTCAATATGTGATAAACACTCAGGTCACATATTCACTTTTATTACAACTTCCATCCACTCAGAGTTCACCTGCAGTCGTCTGTCCGGTTGGTCTGCGGATATCAAACGCTCCTCCGTCCACATCCCTCCATCAATCTGCACCTTTTCATCTGGAGAGAAAGTCAATAACAGGGTGAATCTCACAAAATAAATCACAGGTAGATCATTAATAGATGTTCTTTAAGCATGGGAATGTCTAGAATCTATCTATCTATCTATCTATCTAGACTCTAAGGTTTCACACCTATTTGGGGAAATGAAAGCTTCAGAGCAGGGAGATGCGATATGGGATTCAAACATTGGATAGAAAAAGGACTAAGCAAAATAAAAGACTTATATAATGAAGGGACTCTAATGTCATTCCAACAATTAATGGATAAACACAACCTTCCCAAGAAACACTTTTTTAAGTATTTGCAAATTCGAAGCTTTGTATATTCCCAAATTAAGACTACCTTACATTATCCACTCTCGAAAAATTCACGGTAAGCCATTTATATGCCAGGTCCGAATGCCGAAAACTCCACGTATTCTGGAAAGATGTTCTAGGGCTGACTTCTAAATTGACATATAGTGCTGTTCCCATTGAAGCTAAAATGTGTTTATTACACATATACTGTTAAGATTTCCCAGTAAATGCAAAGAAACGCAAACTAATCAATTTCTGTTTGTTGCAAGCCAAACGTGTAATTGCTTTGACCTGGAAGCATACTCAGAGACCTGATTCTAGACAGTGGGTTAAGGAGATGTCTTGCAGTCTGGCAGTAGAACAAATTACCTACATATTAAGAGGGAAAGTTGAGGATTTTTATAAGATATGGATGCCTTTCTTAAATTTTATGAACTACATGAATATACAAATGCCTGGGAACAGATAAGCGCTGGCACTGTTACCAGTACAGCTGCAGATTGGCTTGAATCTTGCACCACAGCTAGAGTACTATGGTTATGAATTGGGGGAGAGAATAGGATGGTGACCAAGTTTCATAACTCTGCTTTAAACTGTCTTCTTCTTGTTATTATTATCAATATTATTGTTATGCTACTGTTTATTATTATTGTTAGTATTATCCCCTTTTTTATTTCTATTTAATATACTCAATGTTATGTGTGTTTTTTTATGCATTTATTTATTTTAGGTATTTTTTTATTTTATTATTATCTTATTTACCCACTTATTTATTTTCCTCTGAGAGGTTATGAGAGGGAGGGAAGGGATTTTATGACTGTTATTGTTTGTTCAATGTGTATTGTTTATTGAAAATGACCAAAAACTCAAAGTTTTGAGAAAAAAAAAAAAAAAAAAGTTACCTTCGCCATTATGAGCATTTACACTTGTGCACTGGTGTGTCTGTTGCTCTGCAAACAACACTGCCATAACACTTGCTTGTGATCAAACTGAAACTTTCCCTCTCCCTCTCTCTCAATCTGATTTCAGCATTTTGTTTTTTCCCCCCCACCAATGAAACAAAAGGACAAAGGAATACAAGGGGACAGACAAGAGCATGTCATGCAGCTAGGCAGCGTCCCATGTGTGCCTGTTTGTCTACTGTGTTGTAAGGACATGTTTGAAGGCGGATTCTCAAACAGCCTTATCAACTCATCAAGGTTTTACATGAGTGCCTTCATAGTCAGGCTTTAGTCAATGCTTAGCAAGCTTGAAGTACCGGAAGAGGTTTGTCTACACTATTAGCATAGGAGCAGGGAAGGAATGAGCACGATAGCCAGAGTGGGGCAAGCGGGCAACGGAGCCGGGTTCAGCAGCCTCCAAGTGACCATGGCCAGGACCAAACAAAGCCTCCTCCACAATCGGAGGCCAGGTGATTGATTTGATGAGATTATAGTGCATGGCATAAGGCACTTGCCAGATTACCAGATTTTAAATCCTGTTCAAACAATTACTTATGTGGAAAATCACATTAAAATTCATTAACAAGGATTTAAAAGGTAAACGGTTGAAAGGTCAGCAATGTTCCCTAACCTCTCTGTCCAATTGGAAAACGAGCCAGTCATCAATCCTCATCCCAGCCAGGTCCTCTGTTTCACTGTCACTGATGTCATCCAGTAGACTGTCTGAAGAAAAGAACATGAAGACAAAGACTGAAAATGCACAGGCAGTCTCTTATAAAACAATCACCAGGAAAGAGTTTTGTAAAACACCATTAAATCATGAAAAACATGACTCCCAGAACTGAAATCAATATCAAGCATGCATTAAAATCAGGAAAGCCAAAGAATAGGGCAAAAAGGGAGGTGCTACCCGCTTTCCCTGTTAGCCCAACCAAACCTGAGACAACATGTCTGGGTAGACAGCTGCATCAAGCAAAGAAACCAGTCCAACGAGCGAGGGGTGAAACAGCCCCCTCCTCTAACAGTAGTGTGCCAAGCTTCAACAAAGTGACGGGCAGAGTGAAGCTCTGTGTAACCTACGAGGGATCTGCGATGGAACCCAGATCCTCAAGAACATTTCAGATAACAGACAGGCAGACGACCAATCACCTAGAGCCTAAGGGTCTGTCCTAGGTTTCTGCCTCTTAAAAAGGCACATCTTTGCTAGTATGTGCAAATTCCAGCAAGAATCTCCACATCTTTAGAATAGATCGGATTGTTTAAGATGAGGATGAAGTGTAATCAGATTTTTTCTCATTTTTATTCCTTATTTTTCCTATCTTTGTAAAAATCACTCATGGTTATGCCACATTGGTTTATCATTCACAACCAAAATGACTGCTAATGATTGAAAACTCTTGATTGATTTTTTATTATCATCCATGGATGTTTTGACTGTTTGTTTAGTTCCTAAAAAATGTTTTGTGAGCATTAAAATGCTTAAAGGGAGGAATGTAATGGCAATTTTTAAGA